AACTGCTGCGTCGTGCTACAGTAAAAAATGCAGTAGCAGCTGACAGCGGGGTCATATTTCCTTGAGCTTGACGTTTTCATCACAACCCGGGACAGTGATTCAGCTCTGAGGTCAGGAGACGAATGAGGAAAAATACTAAAGACTTTGTCAACAACTGGCAGAAAGCAGGACAGTGCTAATGGTTACGCTAAAGCACTTATGAAAATCCTCTGCCACTCTTAAGGATCTGTGGCATTAAAAGAGCAAGGCTTTGTTCACAAAGAGTAAGTATCAACAGTATAAACACGTGCAAATTCACTGGTAGACACTCAGTATGAGCATATAAAGACAAATTGTACAAGAAACACATTAACTTTTATTCAAGTGAAAGGGCTTAAGGCTGTTTGCATCTCAGCATCATCACAGTAATGTTAGACCAATAAAAGCAGACACACACTGTCCAACCATTTCACTCTCCCCGATAGAGCAAGAGCTGCAGACTTACATGTGTTCAACATAATGCAAGCAGCAGCTGCCATGCATTGGATCTATGCAATTGGGGTAAATAAAAATAAAAAAAGCAAGCAGAGAGCAGCAGAAGCAGTAAACATAAAGCATGGGAAGAGACTTGTAAAAAATCAGGGCAGCCAAAGAGAGCAGAAAACTGTCCCAGATTAAAAATAACAAACCCACCTATGGGAGTTTCCCCTTTTTAAATAAAGGCGGGTGTTGAAGAGAAATCATAAACAAAGGAGCGAATTAGGGGACCAGGACAGGGTGGGATGGGAAACACAAGAATACAACCCATAAAGTACATTAAAAGACAGATGAGAAAGACTTAAAACAAAAATGTTAAACCACACAAATTCTACTTTTAGTTTTATTTAGGAAATGAATTAGACATCTTCAATCTATACGCAAAGATTTCAGGGTTTTGCGGTGCTGATGTCTGCACATTTAAGTTCTTAAACTGGCACATAACATTACCACCCGATGTAATGCATTCCCCAGACGTCACTGGACATATTTAAACCCCCTTTGTTCACTGTTTTATGCAAGAGCTATGGCAATGCTTTTTGGCTGTATTTAGAATTATATTTACACAAAAAAACACAAGCCTGTAATCTCACACAGAAAGGACTGCAAAATAAATTTATGAACGCACACTCCACTGAACCTGCCTGCTGTGTGATTTACTGTGCTATCGGTGTATCCTGCTCATTTATCCTCTGTGGTGCATTATAGCACCTGGCTCTTTATTGGAGGAGTGATTGTCTCTGATAAGCTTGCAGCAGAATGACTGATGAGTGTGTACAAATGACAGAGATCCAATTAGAAGCTGCTTCTCTTCTGCTGCATTCTGCTACTTTTTCTTTAATAGAAGAGGTTTTTTTTTTAATGCTGTTATTATTAGACTCAATGTGTTCTTTCCTGTGGTGGAAAGAAAGCATTTGCGTGGCGACGGTTGTGTTTTGTGGAAAAGAACAAAGTCCATGAAGTGAAGCTCAGTGATGTGGAGTGTGTCTTTCTTCCCATCTGTGAGGCATTATACTATGAGAAGTGACTTGCGCTGTGTCCCTAAGTCATCCTCTAGTAATCAAACTACATAAACATGTACAGTGCAGATGAGCTTTGCAGTCGTCTCAGTAATGTTCACACAAACACGTACACTCCTTAATTTCCAAAACCATTTTCTTTGCAGTGCTAAAACATGTCTAACACAATCATAATTAACTGTACTCGCATGGAAACTCCAGATGGCTTATGTAATGCAAGAGAAACTGGCTATGTGGTTCTGAGTGGGCTGATCTCTTGCACACAAACACACGCACGCCACTGCCTCTTCTTTTGGGCCCAGCTCAGTTTGAAGTTGCCTTCTTACAAGCTTTTAAACAGGATTAGCACATTATGAGGAAAACATGCTTTCACCATCCTGGACCTGAGCCAATTTGTTTTCCTGGCTCAGATAGTTTGAACACTGATTAAATGCTTCTGTGTCATGAGTTGGACGATTAGTATGCTTTTAAGTGATATAAAAGTAGATGTTTACAGCTATTGCCATTTCCATTTTTTTAACTTTCTTTT